CCCTCCTCCCTTCCTCCTCCTCCTCCCTTCCTCCTCGTCCTCGTCCTCCTCCTCCTCCTCCTCCCTCCCTTCCTCCTCCTTCCTCCTTCCTCCTCCTCCTCCTCCTCCTCCTCCTCCTCCTCCTCCTCCTCCTCCTCCTCCTCCTCCTCTCTTTTTTTTTGAGCTCCACGCGCCCCAAAGACCTCACAGAGAGGAACAGACGCCCACCTAAGGGGACGAGCAGGGGGCCGAAGAAGAGCAGCGCCAACGGTCCAGGGCCATGCCCCCGTGGCGTGCTCAATGCGCGAACAGGGAACGCAAGGAGACCGTGCTCCGCGCTCCCTGTTCGGGGTAGGGGGAGCTGGAGCCGTGCTCCGACGCCCAACCTCCCCACCACCTACTCCATAGGTGGCCGCGGCGACGAGAGCAATTTTCTCTCAACTTGGCCCCTACGGGCAAACAAGGGTGACGATCGGGCTGCTACCCGCCTGTTTTCCTCCTGGACCCTACGGGCAAACAGGAGTGGCACAGGTGCCAAAACCCTCCTCCTCCTCCTCCTCCTCCTCCTTCTCCTCCTCCTGCTCCTCCTCCTCCTCCTCCTCCTCCTCCTCCTCCTCCTCCTCCTCCTCCTCCTCCTCCTCCTCCTCCTCCCCGCCGCCCTCCCCCTGCGGCGCGCGGGCGGCCCCTCGGGTCGGAGCGCAGGCGACGGGAGTCCTCGGGAGGTGTTCCTACAGTGGACAGCGGAGACCCATGCCCATAAACACTTGGTTTGCCTCCAGGGTGCCATGGGTTTCTTGGGCCTCGATGGTTTTGCTGTGCAAGGCGTGGCCTTTCCCACACCAAAAAAGCAATGGGCGCCCTGGAGTTCCAGGGTTGCGTTTCTTGTGGAAGGGTTCTTGTGGTCGAGCTCCTACTGCACGTCTTTGGGACCCAGAGTGGTTTCGATCAGCTGCGCCTCGTCGAGAGCGTGCCGGGGCTGCCGGAATCGTCCCGAACGGCCGCCTGAGGCCCGAGAGTTGCGGCCTCCAAAAGCCAACAGGGCGTCCGCGCCAGCGGGGATAAGCTAATCTCCTCTGGCTGGCCCGGGTTCGGGGAGCCACTTGGGGCGTTCCAGAAAAGGGCTGTCACCGTCGGCGCATCTCGCCTTGGGTGGACGGCCCGCGGAGGCAGGCGGAAGTCGAACGTCGGGGCTCAAGAGACGGGGGCTAATGCAAACGGGGGTCAGCCAGCGGTCCAGATCTTGAAGGATCCTGCAGAGCCAGGGCTGCACTGACCCGCTAGGCAGACCTAGCTGGTCAAGCGGAGAGACGGCCCTAGCGGGGAGGGGGGACCGCGCTACTCACCAAAGTGTCGGGATGCACCGTGGCAGTGCGGTGCGGTGCGTGCTGTGTCGCTTTCGAGACGGTGGTTGCGCAAGCTCTCCCGACCCTGCAGGGTCCCAGACGGGATCGCCCAGTTTATGTTGTTGTGCCCCTGCTGTTGGTCGTCCCCCACAGCGTGGACCTGATTCCCTCGGGCCCGCTTATCCGGATAGCCCAACCGCCCTGCACAGCAGCTCATTGCACGCATGCACAGAGATTTGCCACAACGTTATGACCATTCACTCGCGGCTCCCATCCGCATCTCGGCAGCGAGAGAGGCGCTGAAATGAGAAGGAGAAGGCCCTCTCAGAAGGCGGCGGGACTTCTCAGAAGCCCTCGCGCCTTCTGAGCAGTCTTTCTTGTCTTCGGGGGAGGCTTAGGAAACGCTTCCGAAGGCCAGGGGACTCCCGAGCCTTCTGGGAAGGCCCTCTCCTTCCCACTCCCCCCCCCCTCGCTCGCCGCCGAGCACCATACCACGAAGGCGCAAGCACCCCAGCAACGCAGCAACGCAGACTCTGACAGTCCTGCCAGGGGCCCGCAAAGCGCCCTGCCCCCCAGGAAAAAAATAACAAAAAAAAAAAAAAAAAAAAAAACGCGGGAGGCGCGCGGCGCGCCGAGCGCAGCCCCCCTCTGGAGGCCGGCCCTTCCCCCCGGAGCTCCGACGCCTCGCCTCGCTTCGCGGCGCGGGCCCAGCAGAGCTCCCGCCCCCGGGGAGAGCACTCGAAAAACAAGGGCGGGGGAGAACAAAACAAAAGCATAAAAAAACAATATATCGTTTTAAAATACATGTTGTTCTGTTTTTTGTTTTTTAATATTATATATATATTATTATATATATATATATTGTTTTTTAACAATATATATATATATATATATATATTATATATATATGTATTATATATATATATATAAAAAATGCCCCTGGGGCCGATGCCCTGCCGCCAGCCTGGTCTCTGGCGGCCCCCCCCGGCCCGCAGGGCCTCCTCCCCCCAGGGGTGCCCGCCGCGGCAGGGAGGCGGAGGCCATGCACGGGCTGCGGGAGGCCCGGGCCGGGCCCTCCCCCCCCCCCCATCCCCGACCGACCGCCTCCGATCGGGCAGGTGTCTAGGTTTATGTCGGGCGTGTCCCCCCTACAGGGGGATTCTCGAGGAAAACTAAAAAACACCCCCAAAATACCCCAAAAAGGCCAAAACATAACCCCAAAATAGTCCCCAGACTATTTTTGGAGTGTGTTTTGATTATTTTTAGTGTATACACTTCTTAAATTTTTAGTCGAAAATCCCCATGTAGGGGGACAGGCCCGACTCAAGTCTAGGCCTCCTAGATGGGCCCCCCATCCCCGACCGACCGTCTCCGATCGGGCGGGTGTCTAGGCCTCCTATCGGGTATGGCCAGGACCCCAGGTAAGGGGGACCCGGTGAGCGGTAGGGCCCAGCAGCCTTGGAGTTGGCCGGAATCACCAAACCAGGTTTGCCATAGTCAGGGAGGCGTAAGACCCGGGTACAGGGAACTCGGAAATCCCCGACGATGTCGTCAAAAAAATGACGAGGCCGAGCCTGCATTTTGACGAGGCCTCCCGCTGCAGACGTCCCACGAAACTCCTACTCGTCAAAATCCGAGTCGCGGTCGTCAAAAAAACGATGGCGAACCCGAGTCCTGGCAAACCCGGGTCTTACGCTCCCCCGACATAGCTGGTGTTTTTCCGGGTGACGGCAGTTCCGGTTAGTGGAAATGGGACGGGGGGGCGCCCCTGGTACAGATCACTAAACCAGGTTCCACCAAACCCAGTTCTGCCAACGCCCGATCCTAGATGGTGGGGTCGGAGTAGACGGGGTCGCAGGATCGCGCCGCGTCGCCGATGCATCGGCGGTGCGGCTCGATGTGCAGCCCGAGTTGCTTCACGTCGACGTCGACGATGCATCGCCGACGTCGACGATGCGTCGCGGGTGCATCGCCGATGCGTCGGCGATGCGGCGCGATCCTCCGACCCCGTCTACTCCGACCCCTCTCTGGGAGGCCTCTGGGGCGGCAGCGTGGTGCGACGCTGCCGGCCCCCAAGGCCGACAATCAAGCAGCGGCGAAGCGTCTCGGCTTGCCTACAGGCCTACCAGACAATGTTCTAAGAACCTTTTGCGGTTTCCACGACATGTTATTGGAACGTGTTTGGCTGGGACTGTTTTGTTTTAACTCATCGGGTTTATGTTCTAAGAACATTGTAGAACATTGTTTTGGATCTTAGAACATTTTGGGGTTCCAAGAACATGTCGTGGCAGGCCAATATTATAGGAATGCCGGGACGGTCGGTCCCTGCTCAAGACAGAGAGACCACGCCGCGGGAGAGAGGACCAGCGCAGGTCTGGGCCTCCCAGAGAGGGGTCGGAGCAGGTGGGGTCGGAGGATCGCAGTGCATCGCCGATGCATCGGCGATGCAGCGGCGATGCGGCTCGATGTGGGGCACGATTTGCTCCGCGCCGACGTCACGGATGCAACGGCGACGTCGCCAGTGCATGGCCGATGCATCGCCGAGGCATCGGCGATGCACCGGCCGTGTATCGGCGATGAGGCGAGATCCTCCGACCCCGTCTACTCGGACCCCATGCAGGAGGCCTCTGGTCTCCGCTCGGGTGGGTGGCCATGTGGGGTGACCTGAGTCTTCGCACCGCTCGGACGTGTGCCTCTTTTTTGTCGGCAGGGGCCCTAGCTCGTTTTGCTCACCTGGAGGAGAAGTGCACGCAGGAAACCGAAAAATGCCCAGGGAATGGACGTCCGAGCGATGGCGAGGAGTCGGGGGGTGAAGAACATGGCCCCTCGAGGGCCCTCTTCTTCACCCCCCATTGAGGGCACCCCCCAGCGTACAGCAGGCCCAGATCAGCAGGTCGACCATGCCAAATCAAGGGCACTCTTGTATCCTGTGCATCGCGCGTCGTGTCCTCTGCAGTCCCGGGGCAAGGCACCCTTGTCGGAGGCCACGCTGCCGTCGGAAGAGTCCTGCGTCCTGTCGCGTGTCCTGTGCATCTGCCTCCCCAGTTTTTTTTCATCTTATTGTTTCAGTGTTATACAATTCTACCTGCGCATAAAACAACACAAGCAACAACAACAACAACAACAACAACAACAACAACAACAACAACAACAAAACATGTACAGCAAAGAATAAATAAACAACACAACAAAATCAAAACAAAAAACTGCCGACTCAGGCCGCTCTGGCGCAATGCCGCGCAGGCGGCCCCGCGGGGGGCGCGCGCGCGCGAGCGGCCGCGCGGCCCCCGCGCGGCCGCGCCGCCGATGGGGGGCACGGCCAACGAGACGGCGCTCGACGCCGGAGGCGCGGGCGCAGCGGACCCCCACGGGGTCGCCTGGGTCCTGCTCTGCACGTTCTTCGTGATATCCAGCCGGAAGGCCAAACCTCCAGAGGCCTCCCGGACGGGGGTCCGAGCAGGTGGGGCCGGAGGATCGCGCCGACGTTGTCGGTGCACTGGCGATGCACCGGCAACGTCGGCGATGCACCGGCGACGTCGGCGTGGAGAAAATCGGGTTCCGCATCGCGGTGCATCGGCGATGCATCGGCGATGCAGCGCGATCCTCCGACCCCATCTATTCGGACCCCATCTTGGAGGGATAGAACCTCAGAGGAGATCAGGGCTCAAGAGGCGGGGGTCGATGCAAAAGGGGTGCAGTCAGAGCGCCGGATCTTGCAGGATCCTGCAGGGCCAGGGGTTCATTGACGCCAGCTTGGGCGCAGGATCTTGCAGGATCTTGCAAAGCCCGACTGACCCGGGTATGGACTGACCCGGGTATTTAGATCCCCGAGTAGGAAAGCGTACCCGTACCGCTATTTTTTCTTGGGTTTCCCTTTTGTTTGGGGCCGCCTGTCAGGGCCCTCGTCGCCACCGCTGAATTCGCCTCGAAGTTCTGGTCAGAACGCACCACAAAAGAGGTCCGGGGAATAGCGGTATCGGTACCTCTTGGTTTCCCCCCAGACCCCCGACACACAGCCAAGATTGGCAACAGGGTGAGCACTCGACGCCAGGCAGCACTGGGCCCCTCGATTCTGGGCGTGCTCTGCACGGTGGCATGCTCTGTGCCTCCTCGGTGAAGAGGTACCTTGGCTTCTTGGCGCGTGCCAGAGGGGCACGCGTGCGCGCACCTGTGCTACATCCCCACTGGTCTTAGTCGCCCCCAGGCGGCGCCCCCGGCGCCGCCCCTGCGCGCCAGGAAAGGGGTGCAGGGAGGGTTCCCACCGTTGGCCCAAGAGAGATCGTGCTCACGTTGTTTGGCCTTCTGTCCATGCAGCTCGGCTTCGCTGTCCTGGAGGTCGGCTCCGTTCGAGAGGCCCACCGCATGACAGTGCTGGCGAAGAACATCATGGACGCCTGCGTGTCTGCCGTCGCGTTCTGGCTCTTCAACGAGGTCCGGCGGCCGAGCATCGTCCGCCTCGACGGCATCACGCAGCCGCACCTCCTGATCTGGCACTGGGCCTTCTGCGCGGCCTCGGTCACCATCTGCTCGGGCGCGATGGCGGAGCGCACGCACATGACCGCGTACCTGACCTTCGCGACGCTCATGGCCGGCGTCGTCTACCCGATCGTGGCGGACAGCGCGTGGGGCGACGGCGCTCTCGCCCGAGAGTTCCACGGCAGGTGGCACGAGGGCTACGACAACCACGACTTCGCGGGCAGCGGCGTGGTGCACTTCCTCGGGGGCACGTCGGCCCTGGTGGGCAACCTGATGCTGGGGCGGCGCATCATGCGGCCGGAGAACGGCGGGATCCTGCCGGGGCTCGAGCAGAGGGCACGGTCCCCGGCCCACACCCCGACGCGGTCGTACGCCAGCGGCGACTATTACCGCAAGAGCGGCGCGGGCACTCCGTCGCCGGCGGCCACGTCGGGCCCTCCGATCACGGATCACGACGCCAGCGTCGCGATGGAGCTGCAGGACCTGGCCGAGCAGGACCAGGAGGAGAAGGACCTGCTGATGCCGGCCGGCGGTTGGCCCCGCCGGTTCGACAACAGTGGCAGGGACGAGGTGGAGTTCGAGCCGATCACCTACCTGCAGGTTGCTGGGATGTTCACGCTGTGGGTAGGCTGGTACGGCTTCAACTCGGGCTCCACGCTTGCCCTGGATAGGCAGGCGACTCTGGCCGCCAGCATCATCGCCTGGAACACGACCGTGGCGGCGGCCTCGGGGGGCTTTGGCGCTTACCTGTATTGCCTGATCTTCCGCAAGCGTCTGGACCTGGGCTGTATGTGCAACGGTGTGCTGACTGGGCTGGTGTCCATCACGGCCTCGTGCGACGTGGCGACTCCGGGAGCTGCATCAACTGTCGGCTTCGTAGGCGGGCTGGTCGTCTTCCCGCTGGGCAGCCACTGCATGAAGACAATGCATCTGGACGACCCTGTCGACGCCGTGTCGCTGCACATGTTTGGTGGCTTCTTCGGCCTGCTCGCAACGGCGTTCTGCAGACCGGACTGCGAGATGCTGGCGCACTTTGGGGGCGGGCACCCGTCTCAGGCGCAATTCTGCAGAGAGGGGCACGACATAGGGAGGCAGATGGTGGCGCAGCTCTGGGGGGCCCTGACGGAGCTGGTCATCAGCGGAGGCTCCTTCGCACTCGTCTGGGGGTTCTTCGCCGTCTCCGAGCGTACGCGCGCGCACGAGGTGGAGCACCTAGCGAAGGCCGAGCAGCTGCTGCACCAGATGGTGACGCCAGATCCCCAGGATAATTATCAGGAGGGGAAAAAACACACAGACACAATTAATCGTCGACTCCCAGGAAAATATGGGAAAATATTGGAAGTGGGGGGGGAAGACAAAAACCCAGAAAATATGAGAACAGAGGGGGAATTGTTTAATTTGTATGTACTTCTTTGTGTGTCCTGGGGCCCCTTCAAAAATTAGGGCGGCGAGATCTGGTCGGGGGAGGGGGTACACAGCTCGTGGGTCCAGGACGGTCCTGGCCAGCGGCGGTGGATATGCACAGGTCTCGTCGCCCGACAGGAGGGCGCGGCGGCGGAGTGGGAGCACATCGTCCGCCGCTCGCCCCTCGCGCGCCGCATCCTGCACCGCCACGGCCTCGCCCGCGGCTGCTTCCCGCAGGGCGCCCCCGACGATCTCTGGCGGCTGCGGCGGGAGCTGCGGCAAGCGCGCGGCGGGAAGGCGGAGACCGCCTTGGAAAAGCAG